CGAATGGTGAAATGTTGTGCTGCCTGAAATGAGAATCCGGGTCTCACGGTAGCAGCAGTGCATGTCAAGGGCTTTTCCTTACCCAGGCTCCTTGGACGAATAGAATCAGATAGGAGCTGGTGTGGTAACTGGATGATTGCATAATAGGTGAAGATGTTAGAGTCTATTCTGTTTATGCAACCTTTAATCATTTTGCTTGATTGACAGCTATATAAAGAGCTAAAAGTATTAAACAGTCCTCAGATGAATAATAAAATAATCACCTTTGTCAGTACCCTGTGGGAGAGCACACACCCCTGGGCACTGCCGTCAGCATCTATCTTGCTCTCAGACTGTGCATCCTTCATCTATAAATAACTATGGTTTCATCGCTCTAATGGAGAAATCCATTTTAATGTAGGAGTAATGGCCTGGTGTTTGTAGAAATCTGATCACAGAATGCTTTTATAGAAGCAGAAACAAGGAAGGCCGTATTTGGGAGATTTTTCTGTCGGACATCATCAATAAGCTCGTTCTTCTGTCTTGAGCCTTTTCCCTTTGCACTTTATGTGCTGTAAATGAACCATTTTGGAGTGATGTGCAGGGGTGATGTGTAGGAATGATGTGCAGTATTGTTGGGTATATTTCAGATGTATATAGCATTCACAATATGGGACTCGAGGTTTACAAAAGCTGCGCTTCGTCCTGCTTTCGTTCCAGAACCAAAGACGAGTGGACAACAGGGTGGAGCAGTCGGGCCCCGCCGCGCTCGCGGTGGAGGTGGGCCCCCTGCTGAAGGAGATGTCTCTGTGTCTGCTGGACCTGAAGGCGCTCTGCAGCGTCCTGAACCAGAGGGCCCAGGGCAAAGAGCCCAACCTGGCCCTGCTGTTGGGAATCAAGTGTGAGTAGCACGGTCTGCACCATGTGTATCTGCTCCCTCTAAGCTGGGTTTATGGTGACGCTCACACCTATCGATGTGTATCTGCTCCTAAGGCTTCCACATACCTCATCTGGGCTCTGCTGTAGAGATGCTCTTTGAATCACTCACACGTCTTATAACACCTGACTCAACCTCCCCAAAATGTGATTAAAAACCTGTTATTTTGATCTCTAATTTCACTTAAAACATTATTTTAAAAATGTATTTTCAATTATTTTGCAATTTCAATAAAAATTTAAAAATCTGACTAATCAAATCAAAAACTAAGAATGGCAAAAATCTTGTATTTACTTAACCCCTAACCCAGTCCTAACCTTAAGTTGGTAATACTTACGATTAGGGTTATACCCATAGAAATGAATGGAGACTCCCCAAAAAGGTATGAGTGTGTGTGTTTAGCTGACTGTGCTGTCCTCCCCCCCCCCCAGCAATGAACTGCTCAGGTGAGGAGAGCGAGAAGCCTCTCCCAGAGGACAGCCTGCGGGCCAAGCTGTCCGAGGTGCGGCAACTGAGGAAGGAGATTGACGAGCTGAGGACTGTAATCTCGGACCGTTACGCGCAAGACATGGGGGACAACTGCATCACGCAGTGACAGCACGACCCCCGCTGGAGTGGCTGTGTCACCTCTGCCTTCCCCGGCATCCCCAGCACCGGGCTGGTAACCCGAGGCCGGAGGATGTTGGGGAAGATGTAGGCGTCCTTTTATTTTTTCCCTCAACAGCCTGAGGAGATGAAATACCGAAAGCTGCACTGAACAGAGACACGTGGGTTTGCTACAGCCCTGGCAGCTGGAGATCTCTGTAACTACTGAATGTAGGACCAAGCTGTGAATCGCGTTTACAAGGGAATCATCTTAGCTTTGCAGTGTTAAACCCCTATTTGGCGTGTGATCGGATCTGTCTGTCTGTCTGTTGCGTTCCCACAGCGAAAGTTAAAACTGTGGACAGTCTCAATTTGCTTTTCAGGAGGATGCTACCCCAGGGCCACACTTGTATCTCCAGCCAGATCAGTCAGTCTCAGATGCTGCTTCACTAAGTGCCTGTTGGTCTGCCAATTACAGCCATCCTTCCCCTACCACCGTTTGAGCCCAAAGATAGTGAATGATTGACACCCACGGCTCAATCATCTCAGAGTCCTTCTGTTAGGCATTTCTGCTTTGACTCTCATCAGCATTTTCAACTGTTTAAATCTGATCCTGCGTTACCGGCACCACAGGCATTTGATACTTGTGTAAAAACCAAATGTGTGTTTTTTTTATACAGTTAGTGACAGGGTTGCTAAGAGGTTGAGAGAAAAAAGCTTCATTGAATCTTTTAAGAGACTCATGGTAACACTGGTTCAGGATTTAAGAACCTGTTAATTTCACAAAAAATAATGGGATAGTAGCTGTTATCAAGCCGCTTATCAGACCACTGCAGATGGTCTATTTTTAATTTAGGAAAGTGGCAATCCCACAAGTTCTGTTTTATGTTTTTTTAGTTGGACAGTTTTAGTATGGGTGTTTGTATCTGCATGTATATTGAAGCTGGTAACCAGTGAATAGCCAGTCTGGAAATGGTTAAGAGATTTCATTGCTGGGAGAAGGGCTGCAGGTTCAGTCCCTGGGCAGGAACCTGTCTCATACTAACCTATATCACTGCAACTAAACATAGAGCTGATTAATGGCTGCGTGACTCAGTGACACACAAGGGCAGCAAGCTGCTGCTGTATCAGTCTCGCCATATCTACTGTTACCTAATTTAAGACCTTAATCTTAAATTTACTTTGTTGATCCCCATCAGGAAATTCTCTTTTTGGCTACCCCATCTTGTTCTCCGTGCCGCGTGCAGGGCTGCAACCTGTAGCCGTGCTCAGGGAGCTGAGGGTTGGGGTTAAGGCTGAGCTTCCGCTCACTTAGCCGCACGCTGCCCCCTAAATTCAGCCAAACTCTGCCGCAACTTTACTGGTGCAGAGGTGAAGCATAGCATGCTGCTATTTGCATGTCAAACACAGGAAAATCATCAGTTGGGTGCTTGTAGGCCATCGCTCATGTGTTAAAAAGCACAGTCTGGAAATGTTTCAGAAACGCTCAGTAGTTTAGTTCATCCACGATGGGGCGTAGAGAACCTATGCAACGTCACATTTACCAGCACTGCTGCAGCAGTTTGTGAAGACAGCCTTCCTCAGTGCCTTGACATGATTATGCAACAGGGCTTTTTAATTCTTGTTAGATAAGGTCAGTGACAAACTGAGTATTTTAAGTCTCTGCTTCCCAGACAGGAGGGGTTATATGTTCCCCTTTATCGGCAGGCTTAAAACAGTTATCCTCTTTAAATAATATATTTAAGCCATAGTGGCATAAACTGCATATGTCTGCTCAGGAGATTAGGAGACCAGAATGTATTTACTGTATGGAGTGTAGGTCTGACAAGGTGGGAATGGTCCTGATCTCATGCAGGGCCAGCTAGCTGTGCTTGAACTGCTCCAAATGATGGCTAGTTAACTCTGCTACTTTAATAACTTTAGTGAAAGTAATTAGCAGACCTACCCTCAGCTCTAATCATTAGACAAAGGGGGAACCGCATGCACTAACAACTGGGTTTGCTAGAGGAGGATGGAGCAGTAAACCACCACCACGTGAGACCACTGATGTAGCCTGAAGAGAGGAAATGCCATCAGACTCCCATAATGCACTGCGGGCAGGCAGCCACTGGTTGGCTTTACTGTTCCCAGTGCTTTCTCACTGGTTTCTAATGTCAAGCTTTTAGTTTTTGCAGCTAGATTTTATGAATGCCAAAGTTCTATTTATATATGTTCCAAAAAAGTATTGACTAGTATTTTTCCATTTGAACATTGTTTGCTTTAATTTGTACAGAGGGGAAATAAACTATTTTTGTATGAACATGTGGCTTGGTTTGCGTCTGACTAGTTCTATAACCATGAATGGGGTAAGAGTATATTTGGCCTGATAAGGGTTAAATCCGGCTCTCATTCCATGCTTCGAAATTCACATGGCAACCTGAAGCCATGTAAACCACATCATAACGGCTGCCTGAGGGCACAGTCTCTGGCTCGGCCGTAACTGCATTGCAGATGCAAGAGGACAAATCACAATCAGTTGTCAGCCCTGGCATTTTTACAGCATGACACGCATTGTCATGGTAATTAACATTCATCAGGGGAGAAGACTAATCAAAGTCTGCCTGACAGAGTGATATGCAAACAAAACACGATCGTGTCTAAGATGGGACACGCCCATTGTCCCAGAACTGGGGGCAGCTTTTGCGCTCCAAAGCTCTTAATTAAAAGCCATTGTCGGTATGCAGCATGTGGCATGGCCTTCACAGGTACAAATTAACAGATTGGTACAAGTTGTGCATAAACAAAATATAAATTCCCACAAAAACAAGATTCATTAGAAAAGTCAACAATGGTAGAATTCAGATACTGTCACTCGGTAACTGGCCTTAAAAACCACAGGTGTGGAATCTAGTTACTAGTGCTCAATTCTGTACTACAGTTCAGATTTCAGTCTTATAAATGGCCTAGAGCACTGATATTTAATGACTTAAGTAAACGTTTACTTAAGCAGACAAGTAGATGAAATAGGATATTAATAAGAAACCCAATAGCAGGATACTGTGTATTAGAACATTTCAGTCATGTTTACAGTGATACTAAAATTTAGGCTCCACAGTGCAGCAAATTGTTCTTGTTCAACATGGTGTACAAATCAAAGGATGGGGGTTGGGTGGTATAACAGCTTTTTGAAATATCAAAACTATTAGGCATTTTAGTCAAAGTGTGTTTATTGATTGCAAACATCAGTCCGGAAGTTGCCAGCCAGTGGCAAATATGTACAATTGCCTATTGCCCATCAGGTGGCTTAATGCCTTGGAATGAAACTGAGAATCTCACACACATTTAAAAAAAAGGGAAAAAAAGCAACACACTTAGTGATGAGAAACTGAAAATTTTAAAACCAGTGTTAAAATTTGCTGGGTTTCTGCATAACAGCCTGACATCTAGTTAAAAGGTTCAGTAAGTAATGGACAGCCAGGCCTCACAGAAAATGAAGTAAAAACACACCCACCCCCCCACCCCCCAAATTTAAAAAAAACCCAGCATAGTAAAACTTACAATATAAAAAATCAGGTCAAAGAGCTGAATGAAGGTTACTTCCAGCTGCCGTCTGGGGATGCCGTGTGCTTGTCGAACCCCTGCACCGAGGTTCACCAGCCAGGGAGGGGAAGCAGCCCGCCAGCCGCCAGGGCAGCGTAGTAGCCCAGACTGGCGTGGGCACACTGCAGGGCCATGGCCTTCAGAGCCTCCATGTACAGCTGCTGCCCAGAGTGCAGGTAGAGCCAGAGTACCCGGGTCAGCTGGGCGCTCACAGAGTCCCCGTGCAGGCCGTCTGCAGGGGGGAGAGAGAGAGAGAGCATGCTGGGACGGGGGGCAGGGGAGGCCCACCCAGCGGGCCCAGAACTCACACTCACACACTCTCTCTCACACACTCTCTGAATGCTCATGACATAAGAGTGGCACAGCCCCCCCCGATACCTTGAGTGATCTTGGTGTCATACTCTAGTAGCCTGTAGAGCTCATCTGACAGCAAACACCGCAACCAGCTGTTCTCCTCCAGGTGGATCCAGTCATGGACCAGCCT